ACAGCCGAATGTATATTCTAAAGAAACTACAATACTAAATTAGCTTGTCTCAAACTTTTAGATATCAGAAACTTTTAGATAACAATAGTTTATTTTAGCAAGAAAGGCTGATTGACACTTTCAACATTAGGGACATCATTTCAGTCAAAAATGTACTGATACTAGCCCTCACTAAAATAAAATCAATTTTCTTATGACTTTTCTTGCTAAGTCAAGAATAATTACAGTCACATAAAAATATTTTTTGCAAAACTTGAGGGCATCCTCAGAATCAAAGAACTTAAACTGATCAGTGTAATAAGACCAATATTTCTATTAAAACAATATATTCTAGTCAGACTAGATGTGAGCAATTTACCTTCTCCCTCTCAAGAAACATTAACATTAACAACCATAGCCACAAAACTTTGAACAACCAATAATGATGGAAACATGGGAAAAGATATGGGTAAGAAATGTAAAATTTACACAAGCGCAAAACTTGAGAGAAAACTTTTACAAAATGTTTTATAGATGGCATTTAGATCCCAAAAAGTTAGCTTGTATGTATCCGAACTTACAATCTAAATGTTGGAGATGTGATTGTGATGATACTACTTATTTTCATGTATGGTGGACTTGTAAAAAGGTTAAAGCATTCTGGATAAAAATTTGGTGGATTATTCAAAATATTCTTAAAAAGAGGATAAAGTTTACTCCACAGTTATTTTTGTTGGGTATAATCATGGATTGTACGGTTATAGAGACTAATTTGATCCTGAATTTAATAACTGCAGCAAGATTGTTGGTGGCGCAGTATTGGAAGAAGGAATATTTGCCTACTATTCAAGAATGGATATTAAAAGTAGCAAATTTAGCAGAGATGGCAAAGATCTCAGCATATTTGAAGGGCTATTCAAATGAGAAATATATGATAGAATGGAGAAGATGGATAGATTATATTCAAAGTAAATATCGGACTAAAAAATTTCAAATAGCTTACAAATAGATAGAGAGATGTTATTATGTATTCAAATTTAGTTTGGTAAACGGGGAGTTAAAGTATTAGAGGGATGTAAGAGGTTATCATTAATTAGACTATGTTAGATTATGATTGTTGAATGTTATACCCTGTATTTTGCTCTGGGAAGTAGGGAGGGGGGTGGGTGGGAGGGGGAGGGTTGGGGAGGGTGGAGGGAAGGGGGGGATATATATGTAAACTTTTTAAAACTTTTCAATAAAAAAAAACAACATTAACAACCATAGCAAAATACTGACAGACTGCCCCTTATATGTCAGATCAGGATTTAATGAATTCCTCATTACTTCAACCACTAAACAGATCCAATGGTGACAGGGAAAATATATTTGTTCACATTATTGTCAGAGTTATGGTCTTCAAATAAACTTTTTTTTTTCTCTGACAATTCACCTTGAATTTTAAATACTTTGCACTCAAATAGTCACTATACAGTTTCACAGACAATAATCTCTTTTGGAACCATACAGAGATACCATAGTTTTACTCTAAATGTGTTCAGATCAAAATAACCATGTATTCTTAGTGAGCATTTATACAAGGGTATGGCAAACTAGAATCATAGGTTTCTTTTATGCAGCCCTCAGATAATTTAAATATAGCCCATAAACCTAACTATTTTACATGCTTTAGCCTAGGAGAACAAAATGGCATCCACAGGACAGCAAAGAGCAAATAATACATGTTACAAGGTTGTGACAGAAACCACCTAAGTTATGTAGTTGTGTCTGACACCAGGACATAAACATAAAAGGTAATAGTTGTATCGAGTCATGATGCATGTTTAATAACTTTTTTCATCATTGCAGCTTGACAATCGCACTATTATGCACTTATTTGAATCCCATTAAATTTAGTGTGACACATTATAAGTAAATTATAGATTCAGTGAAATAAATACAATTAATATATCCCTGATACATACAAACCAACAGATTGCAAGTGATACATAATTTATATAAAACAGATGATTACATCTTTATAGCAACTTGTGACAAAAGCCATCAAAAGAAAAATATTCATATCAAACTGTTTATTTACAAACTCCATAAAAATTAGTCAAAGAAATACATTGTTTTCTGTATATTTCACTCTTAAAACCATTACCATTTCTTAATGTTATCAGTTAAAATTCAGGATGTTTCTCTAACTTGTTCCTCTTTAAAGTAAAGCTTTACTGATAATATTAGTAAACTTACTCATATCAATGTATTAATCTTACATTTTCAGAATATCAATAAATACACTCACGATTTTCAAGTGTGTCTGCTTATGGAAACAGAAGTATTAAATTTCCAGTTTTTAAAACTCATATTTATCATTAATATTATAGAAAAGACTAATACATTTTGGTTATAGTTCCTTAATTTTACCACCACCAAAACTTTACATTCTGTAAAGCTAATTCAAACTGAATACCAGTTGAAATGAACAATAAAATATTGATTAGTTGCCATATTTTCATAGTCTAAGATTCTACAAGTTTTAAAAGGAAGGTAGTTCTGGTTCTAGACAGCTATCTATCTATCTATTTATTTTTTATATGTCATCGTCTCATGTTCAAGGGGACTGAGTGGCTGAGTATTATATTTGTGTGGCCACTGTTATAATTTCTGAAATATATAATTCAGATATATAATTTTATATTTTGTAATAAAATTGGAAAAGTCATCTTATTTCCTGTTAGTTAACCAGGAACCAATTTAATTGGTTCCTGTCACCCATGTGATAAATTCAAATTGAGTATTTTCTTTTTAAAAATCAATAGATAAAAAAAGAAAACCTGAAAAACATATAATTATAGGAAATCTAAACTAAGTCTTAAATCTTTTATTTCTTTAAGAAAATTATCCTTTTGGTTGTCTTTTTTCAGACAGGAACTTTGCAGATTAATAACTACTACCTATATATATAACTATATAATTTCTTTCAATGTAGTCACAAAAGTAGGAAAACACCATAAATCTCGTAATAATTTAAAAATACATTCTTCATAATTAAATTTTCACATAAAATTTAAAAATCTATATGTTAACCACTTTTTTGTTTTATTAAAACATTCAAATCATGATCAAAAATACAACATACGACTAGTGGTTTTCTGTTTAGTGATGTTAGGTATTAGGTGCACTAATTACAGTATGTCACCATGTAGAGATTAAATTATGCAACACAGTTACAAATACAGTGATCATATTCCACCACCCAGACAGAAGTTCTGACATTTGCTATTTTACACCATGCCACTATGCTAGAGAATGGCTGCACACATTACGGCCTTTTGTTCGATTTTTGAAGGCTGGCACTCATTTTTAATTTGTGTATTTCACCAGCAGAAATTAAAATAGTGTAATTTTAAACTTTATAATTTATCCTTGATTTAGACGATATAGGCTATAATTTACTAAGGAGAAAGTGATTCTAAGGAGTGGTTTTGAAAAAACAAACAACTTCTCAGTACATGTAGAACTAACTCAAAATAATGATATATAACTTCATCAGTGTTATTCATTGTATGACTAAAACAAAAACTGATAAATAACTGATTAAAAATCTATTATCTTGACGGCAAATTCAGCCATCTCCACGACTCGAACAGTACCTTCCAATGGGATTTATTACAGATTTCAATGTTGGTCACATATCAATAAAGAAAATATTCAGTTCGTCATTCTTATTAATTTTCACTCTTTTACATTTTAGCAAAAAAAAACAAAACAAAAAAAACAAATCAAATTCTTGCCTATATTACAAAGCAGAAATTAGCATCTACTGCTCTAAATTCCTCTGAATATTAAGGAATATGAAATTATACTCATTCCTTTTCATTCTCACCATGGAATGAAAAGTGCCCCCTGCTTTTTTTTTTAAACAATATTTTCCAATTGCAAACAACTTAAACATTTCAGGTTCACTTCAGGTTCAACTTCCACCAACGTTTAATAACAACATAGCAAAATAAGAATCTTTTGCTTCGTTAAGGCATAATGATTTTCTTTTTTCAATAAATTCATATACACATACATTTCCTTAGTACTATTTCTCAATATGAAAATTAAGCTTTTTCCTATAGCAGAGACTAAAAGGATGTAATTTTTTTCCAATAAAAGCAAACTGAGGAGAATGTAGAGATTGTAGATAACTGGTAAAATAATTTAATATTAAAATTACTGACCAAACAGTAATCTGATTTATTTCACTCCAACATTATAACCAGATGACAAAATATCGTCATCAGAAATTCAACTATATCTTTTACAAATACTTTAAATGCATATAAACAGATATGTCTATCTTTTCCTATACTACAGACAGGAAAATCTAAATTCTCCGTCTTCCGTAGATAGATACCCTTATTAGCGCTATAACCCCTACAAAGCCTTTAATCAAGTGCATTTTCTTATGTGATGTTTTGACAAATTTACATTTCCTTTACGTTGCACAATATTAACCACTACACTTGGGCACCTCGGGCCCAAAAATCGGGACCAATAAAAACAAACGCTTAAATGAGTAAACTAAGGGGCTTAGTACCTAAGTACTAGCAGATCGTAAAGTCTGAATTTGTAGGATTTCCTTGATTTTTATTTATTTATTTATTTTTGCTTTTGCTTACTTGACAAGTCAGCAAATGGAAAGAGAAACAATACGCAACGTGATCTTACGGAAGAAAGGTAAAGTTCCATTCATTCCCCCCCCCGCCGAACGACTTTTTGGACAGTGACAAGCGACCACATTTCTGGCTTTGGGAACCACGTGGCCGCGGAAAGGCACACCATGGAGGGGCAAAGGGGCAGCCCGCCCAAGCTCCTGGAGCTATTCGACACCAAGGCCAAAGGGTTCCCCGTCGCTCTTATTGCCTCTGTCCGGAAAGCGGGGCGGCGCAGCGGCAAGAAAAGTCAGACGACCGTTAGCCTTGCTCGCTCTTACCCTCCCCCTCCCCTACCCACCCACTCCAGCTCCTCACGCGGACACCTCTTACTTTTGCACGAGTTGGGGCAGGCCGGGCGTCTGAGGCATCCCCCTAACGGGACCGCCACCGGCAGTCGGCGGGAAATTAGCCGAGCTTCGGGCATCTCTCTCAGATTGCTCGGGGCCACGGGGGTCCGGGGCCTGGTTCATGACCACCCTGGGACCATTCAGCAGATGCACGTTCGGTCGGCGATACTCGAATTTCCCTCGGATACAGCCAAACGGTTGGGGGGAAAGACAGCAGCGCCACACACGAGCCTGGCTGGAGTGCGCGTCTCTCAGGAACCCGAAGCAAATGCCACTGGCGCTCGCCCGCCCGGCTGAAAGGTATCTCTGCTGAGGAGGCCGGGGGACTCTGGGGAAAGGCATTTATGGCGACGCCGGCGACAGCAGAGCCAATGGAAGAAGGAGGTGCCACTTTCCCGTACCAAGAAATTTTTGGAGACTCGATCATTTCGGGCCGTTTTTTGATTGGGCAAGCCCAGGTTGGAAGGAGACGATGGGAACTCGTACTATGTGTTGCTTAGATACTGTGTCACTGAGGCTGGAGATAAGTATCTCCCCCAAGTTTCTGCTCAAGGAACAGGAAAACAGGAATTAGGGTCATCTGGAATTTTCCCCAGATTCTGCCTCTTCCCTTTCTGGCGTCCTGCTTTTTCTTCATGCTTTCCCTCTTTCGTACCCAAGACTGAGCTTGGCTTTACCTGTCCTCAGATTGAACCCCGTAAACGCCTGCCCTATAAATGAGAATCATTGTCCAACTGCCATCCAGGACTTCCCATTCCAGGCTATGCAAGGCAGCACATATTTCTGTGCATTTACACAGTTTCCAAGTGATTGAAGAGGCTCGCAGATTAAGGCGGTGAAACACTAAAAAATGATACCATGCAAAACTGTAAAGGTACTGCCCCCGCCCAAAAAAACCCCACATGAAAATAATCATACAGGCAACTATTTTTGGAAACTAGTTCCATTTTATTGTATAGTGATGTGTGGTGAAATGGTAAGTGCACCTACTTGTAGAGACACCTGAAACAGCTACAGAAGCAACCTCGCAAACCTAAATAAGATGGCTGCTTTAATGATTTCAAGAGATGCTTTGGATAGTTGTACTATTTCTGAAATGGAAAATTTAAGTAAGTAAAACTATAAAGTGATCTTGAAACTTATACATTGGCTGCCTCAAACAACAGTTGCAGATTCATATGGTTGCATAGTACACAATATTCAAATGTTACACAGTACAAGTAATTATGTTTTAATGACTACAATTGGATCTGCAACTCCCATTGCTAAGCAGTGTGGTTATTAAGCAAAATATGTGATCATGCTAGATGTAGCTCTGCTAGCTCTGCTGTGGTCATTAAACAAATTACACAAGTCATTAAATGAGACATCACATAACTGCGACTTGCAATTTTACTGCCAATTACTCTATTTCTAACTGCTTGTCAGAAGTCAGCTATAAAGCACGCAAATGTCAACCACATGACTACAGGATCCTGTTATGGTCATAAATGACAGCTGCTTATGAATCTCCCAAGTGTCAATCATATGACTGCAGGGTTTCTGTGACTATTGTAAATCTTAGGAATGTCAATGAATTAATAATTTTTATTCAATCAATGCCAGCAAAATTTAAAAGAACAAAACCAGAATGGAGCAAATAACTACAATAATTACTAACAACTAGAAAAATAAATCACACACATTTACTCCTATTTCTAAGTTATTATAGTTGTTATTCAAAAAATTAAACATTATATGTATAAAATAAGAAATTAAAACCAGACAGGAATTACAAAATCAAGGGGTGGAGTTAGTATGGTGGCCACACCTGCAAATACAATCGAGATATTAGAGAGATGCGAAAACATGGGGTTTCTATAAAGAACCAACAACACTTGATCAGATACAATAGGGACAGATGAAAAACTGATAAGAAAATTACATAGTTATCTACTAAACTTCAAAATGGAAGATGAACAAGTAAAAGAAACAATGATAGTATAGGCAAAAAACTTTTGCTATGCTATAGAATTAGACAAATGGCAAAAACTTTGGGATAGAAAGTACAAATTGACAATGGCTACTGTTTATAAGGAAAACCTTTACAAAATGTTCTATAGGTGGAATCTGCCACCAACAAGACTAGCAACAATGTTTAAAAATATGTTCACCAAATGTTGGAACTGTAACCAGATGCTTGGTACTTATCATATGTGGTGGGCATGTATGAAGGCAAGAAAATACTGGACAAAAATACATGCATGGCTGAAAAAGATGATTAAACAGCATATAGATTTAAAGCCAGAAATATTTTTGTTAGGTATAATACGAGAAAGCTATGATAAAGGGACTATATACCCAATGCTACATGTATTGACAGCAGCAAGAATTGTATTTGGATAATATTGGAAAAATAAGAACACCCCATCAGATGAAAGCATAATTCAGAAAATATTGGATTGTGCATAGACTGACGTTGAAAATAAAAGATAAAGGAGATACAGAGTACTACTCAACATGGGATAGGTTTTATCAATGGTTAGACATAAGAGAAACAGGTTAGATGAAGAAAGATTGACTTATGACTATAAGTATGCTAGTATAATGAATATAATTATAAATAAGCTAATATAACTATTAATATTGCTATAATTATTATGTATATTATCATTATTATTACTATATCTGTTGTGTTTTTTGGTAAAATGAAATACCTGGACAATATACTGTTTTCAAAATGTTTATATATAAATAAATATATATTATTTTAAAAAATAATTTTAAGGCTCGCCTGAAATTATTGTCACTGCTATAAATCCTCAGTGACTGAAAACACTCTGATCCAACCAGTACTAACTCAGACTGATTACATAGAATATTCAGTCTATAGGTTGAGGGAGATAGAGTACTGTAATTGTGGTTTGCTTTCACAAGGTAGAAGGAAAGGTTAGTCAAGAATTGCTGCCAAAGGATAAATGTCCTTCAGAATTTTCAGAACTGCAGATGGGGGGAGGGGGGAGTTTTTCAAATACATCACAGAGAAATAAGTGAACCCAGCTTCCAAACACTGAAACAGCCAGATCCAGAGTTAATTCTGAACTGATGCAAACATCCCACATGAAACTATCCTTTTGGACAGCTGAACAGTACAAGCATCTCCTCCCCTTTTTTCTAGCTACATAATAGTTGAAATTTCACCCAGCAAAATAAAGCCTCTGTCTATATCACAAACAGAAAAGCCTACAGCTCATAATTACAAGTACAGTAATGATTTGAACAATACAGATCACTAACATTAGATCAATATATTTGAGGTTAGGCAACCTGAGATAAGGCAAAGCTGAGTTTTAAGGACATATTCTTAAAGAGAAAACAGCAGAGTGTCTTCAGACTTCAGTTGGAGTATATGTATGTATGTCCTGGCTCAACTGGTAAACTGAGGAGCCCCCAGCTCTGTTCTTTTTCTTTGTCACTAGCCTGCACATAATTGAAATACAACTTGTTCACCTAGACTTCAAATAAATCAGAGTCCTCCAGTCATCCATTGCATGGAATGCACAAAGACTTCTGTAATCTAATTTGTTAGCTGAAGAGGCAGTAATTTTGTCCTGGTAGAGTTAAATTACTTAAGGCCAAAACACTGAACCTTTTATTGGATCACACACAGCACTGTATATAGAAGGATTTAAAAGCTTTAGAAGCAAGACAAACTAGAAATATAAGAACAGTGCTTTATAGTTCCTCTGGTGCCTAACACACATTTATGTCTGGAATCTGGTCTACATGAGAATACACCAGTTAAAGTACTGTCTGAAAATTATTCAGAAGATAGTTGCCCTTTTTAGTTGTTGATAGATTTGGTTCTTCTTGTAAGAAGAGAATTGAAGTTACCGTGGGTGGTCCTTAAGCCCAGTTCTTGCTGAAAGGATACGATGAAGCAACTTCAGAGATTAAACTAGCATTTTTGGAATACAACATTTTTTAGGTAGAAAACATAATTTTAAGAAATTTAGAAAAGTGTAATTTTTTAAAAAATTAAATTTTACAGAAAATGTATCTACAATAGTGATCAATATAATTTGGATCTTTGATGCTAGCCAACTATTTTACTAATAACTTGTCTAGTCCTCATTGAAGACATTTTCATTGACTAATGTGTTGTCCTCTGTGGTACTGAAAGGGAGGTATTATAATAATAGCGGTTTTTACAAACGCTTCAGAAAAATCAAACTAGATTCTCATATTTTATTGTGTTGTCCTATGTACCAAGCCTGGCTCTCTGACCTAATATCTTAATCAATTTGCTGAAAAAAACGTTATTTTCCTTTTTTTGCAGATTTGTCCAAAGAAATTACCAGAAGTCTCAGTGCATTTTTATCTGTAAAAACTAGGGAAAAGAATCTAATTTTCTGGAATTATTAATTTGATTATTGCATTTGATTCCAGATCAGTTACCATTTTTATTTTATTTTAAATGTGCTATGTTTTAACTTTCTTACTCTTTTTAATTTGTAGTTATTGTATATTGCTTTGGGTTTCTACAATAAATATGTTTAATAACCAGAAAGGAAACGGAAAGAATGGAAAATGGATACAATACTGTTAGAAGAAATATCCTTTTGGGTTCTGCTCCAAGTGGGGAAAAAGACACTGGGAACATGGAAACTGCTTGGAAAGATGGTTTAATGGTGGACAGGATCACATGGCTTGAGTTCCTGAACAGAAAAGGGGCGAAATACAGTGAGTTCCCGGGTTTTATGCTCTCTCTGGCTTTGAACTTCCTGGAGCGCAGGAAGAGTATCCTGATTGGTTGTCAGACTCTCATGGGGTGGGGGTCTTGGCTAGCCTTGCTGGCTGATGTAATCTTCCCAGGTGCCATGTGGTGAATTTCTGTTGCTAGATGGGTCCTATTATGTTGCAGATGATGGCCCATTGAGTGAGCTTGGCTGAGGCCTTAATGGCCCATTAACATTGGTGGGGAGGCTGGAAGCTGCTTTGTCTTTAAAACATGTTTCTCCATTTCTCAAATATTTCCTAAAATATTTCAATCTTCTAGGAAAGGGTGGGTGCTAACTTCCTACAATACCAAGGAGTAAAGAAAACTGCAAAGACCACCTCATCTTTCTTCTATTTAGATAGCACAGACCTTCAAACATTAACATTTCTTCAGGAGGAAATTTTTCCAATCAAATGCTGAATGTGAGAGTGAATTTTTTCCATCCTTATATCAAAGACGTATGCATTATCTTGTTGCTATTCCTATTACCTTCTCAATCATGAGAATACAATAAAACATTTTTAAGAATCATTATATGACCTTTAAAAATATTAAAAAGAATTCATAAGACGTTAACAGTCTATCAGTATTCTGCTACTTGCAACACATATGAAA